CTAATAGTGGAATGGGCAGCAAGCTCGTGGCCGATTAAGAATGGAAGGTGTATTGTAACGTTGACTACTTTAATGTTAGAGATACTTCATGAAGAAGCCTTTTGCGGTTATTAGTTTGTTGGATTACCTTACGATATGGCCATTGATCTTATTTATTTTCGTAAATTTGAGCAACATCATTCGACTTCTGTTCTCTTTTTCTCTTTTGAGCCTTTATTTGGGCACTATTGAGCTGGAAAAAAACGCTTATTTTAACGCACCGACTAGTGTGTTTACCATTCTCCCGCTTTCTTGTAGCGTCTTTCCGTCAGGTTAGCTGAGTATGCGATGTTTTCTGCTATCATTTCAACAGCGAAATTGTAAGGTCAGGATTTTCTTCCGACAGCTCAATATCAGGATGAAGAGCATGCTTAACCACAGCGATAGCCATAGATTGGAGTCTTCCGCCCAACACTTACCTCATTCTTCACTGCTATATACCTTCAGGTTGAATTTGCGGAGACCGGTGAGAGGAGAACAGAAGCCCTTCTGCAACGTGAGCTTTTGATGAAACTCAACCTCCCACCAGACAGGCCTCCAGAGTGGTTTCCTGGTCACCGACATCTCCCCACATCCACCACTGAGGCTACTACTACTACTACTAACACTATTGATAATATTACCAGCAACACCACTGACGTTGCTCTTCGACCTCCAGAACGAAACGTTGGGAGCGAGCTCAATGAGGAAGACCTTTTCGATGAAGATGACCTTCTGTTAGCGTCTGCAGTGGAGGACTTCGAGAGCCTAGCGGCCGCCGCTATTGAAGATGGTGAGCGTTTATAACTTTTTACCCATCACGAAATATTTTGAACTGATTTTGTATTACTCCAGTTTGGAAGTATCCCCAATATCCATTTTATATTATTCAGGTAGTCTTTGACCACTTTTCTTCCAACTTTTTCCGCGTACCTAAGAGACAGTCATTTCACTTTCTTACTGACCACAGAGCGAAACTTATCAATCATTTATTGTGGCTTTTATGGCTATTATCTTGTGAGCATCTGTAATAGATGCTTTCCTTCCGTTCCATTTTTCGCATTTCCCAGACATGCATGGCCCATGTGTAGAGGAATACCAAGAAGAAGGCTGGAAGGCTGTTGATCCAGACACTGGGTTGGTGAAAGTGAGAGTCAATTAATTTTGGCCCAAAATCCTGATCCCAGTATTTCATTGATGTCTTAAGCCTCGCTCTTGCCACTCTTAGTGGTGACTTGGCTAAGTCATTCATCGTTATCCGTACTGTGGTCAATCAAAATCACGCTAAAGGCAGGTCTCGAAAATTAGGCAATACCTTGAAGCGACACATTTGCTAGCCATGGCTCGAGACCGCGTGATGCCCATCACTGGGCCTATTTTCATAGGCTAGTCGCTTTCGTAGAATCCTTTGCTTGGAAGCAAGTCCCATTTATTTAACTACTAAGTTAGCAGTAACCTCTTAGAAATTCAGACTAATTTCATTTCTCCCTTACACAGTACGATATTGGATCTGTGGATCGGCGTTGTTATTTTTTTTCCACTTTGTTTTTCCATACTTCCGTTGTTGACAACACGAAGTTACTAACGGGCGCTACTCCCCAATTTGTGTTTCCCTACCGGTGGTACTTCTTTGTAGACATAATAATTTGTGTAGGATACCTTTATTTCTAATAACATTTATATGCACCAGTCAACCAAGTATCGGGCACATCTCTACCGTGCTGTCATCAATGTAGTATTACAGGGCACGATTTTCTGAGGATCGATCCCTCCTTGAATGGAGGGGAGAGCCTCTTCCATGAAGTTGACCTTCTACTGGCGCCTGCTGTGGGAAATTTTGGAAGTTTGACTCTTCCTGGTCCTGGTGAGCCTTTGAACAGGATTTCGAAAATCTGGTTATCTAGCACACTAGTTGTCTCTTGAGAACTTCATTAAAGCACGAGTCTTCAATTTTGGATGCTACCGTGGTGATACAGGTAGAAGGGCCCATGTACCGTGCGAGGACCCGTCTAGACACCGTTACTCAATGGTGGTGGGAGCGCGTGCGCCGCACAACGTGTGCACGCCGTTGTAACGCTTGCGAACGTCCAATCGGACATCAGTAGTAGGGCATTTGGAAGTTTCAAACATTTCAAAGGAGGCTGTGCGCTTGTGTCAGTGACGCTCATGATCTTGCTATCTCTGCTGCTGGTCCACAGCACGGCTGCGACTCATTCCCGTGAGCAATTATTCGGAGCGTTGAGCACTCACCTGATCGCGGGTGCCTAAACGACGAATCCACATGTGGAATGCTGAATGCATCACAATTTTTGAAAGTTAGCGCACGTTAGATATCGCAACAGGCAAGCTACCCCAGAACGGTCTAGACGTGCCAAGGTCGTGCAGGTACTAGTTCAAAGCCGAGAGATTATGCATAGGAATGAACACAGTCTGCTCCCCTTGAAGGCTCGACATTTTTTTGACCTCTTTCCCTCATAGTTTGTTGTAAGGCCACCATCCAATACCACAAACCTTCCGTTGGCTTCTACTGTTAATGCAATTGTTCTACAAGAATGCACATTGTAAGAACTTTGTACTGTCGATTTGAGGGTCGACTCTTAGGCACCCGATCAGATTTGCGCGATTGTGTGCTTATGTAAATTAAGCATTCGGTCATATAGCTCTCGTTGTTGTTTGTTATTACTCCTTTCTGATGGTCATTAAAATGAGTTTCCAGTGAAGAAAGCTCCACCGTGAGACAGGAATGAAGCGGATACAATGACCTAATGTCACTGTCGATGTTACCAATATTTCGGCATATCATAGGTTTTGGCTGGCTCTCCCATGTCACGTCCTTCTTTTGCAAAGCCCCACTTAAGCGCATTTCGCATCGTCATTGTTTTTGCATGGAAACGCTTCCCTCTCTCTCAGTTATCCCCAAATCTTCCAATGTTTTAGTATGTGGATAAGTGACTCATCTTCAAATTTCACCCATGTTTCATATTTTTGTAATTCTCCTGTGGAAGATTTGAAATAATTCAATTTACCTCCCATTTTGTTAGTTGGACTGGTGCAGCGCATTGAATAGTTTGTTCACTCTCCCATTGTTTGCCTTCACAAGCTTCGCCACCTACTTAGTGCATACCCATCTTCTATGCCTCTTTTTCATGTTATAGCCGGTTAATTCCTTTGCATGTAAACCTTCGTTGAGACGTCGATGGAGGTGATTTTATTTTTTTCACAAAAGACGATATGTATCGGGTATATTCCTTCACGGGGCTACCGGTGTAACCGCATAAAACTCGTTTTCTTTAAGATCCATCTATTTCAATTGGATGGATAAGAAAAAAAGACCTTTACAGGTAGGAAGTGTCGTTTATTATACGTGTCCACTTAAATATTGTTACGCTGTTAGCCTCGTCATCTTCCCAATGCCTTATTTATGTTAATCAAAACGCCACATTTACTGCCCCGAATGTCTTCAATTTTCCGAACGGTGGAAGTGCTACTGTGATGTAAATAAGTAGTATTATTTAGTTAAACATGCACTAATGCTGTTTTCGACGATCAGCCTCTATGGTAGTCTTAATTTTTTTCTCAATGAATTGACATTCGAGTGTCATTTAGGCGCTAGGTAATGAATGGTGACAATCGAATCTAATTGGATGGACTTTTTTGTGTTGACTTTCACTCTTTGAGAATGTGCTATAAATGAGTGATCAAATTATAGTGCTACAAAGGGAGATTAAACAACTTCACAATTATCTGGCATATTAAAAAAAAGGATAATATATAGTCCTTCTTTGCCGTGCTGCAGAATGGCATTACCCTCTTTACCGTAATGGGTTGGGCAGTCGCTTAAGTACCCACCACCAATGCAATTAAAACTGGCATGGGTTCGGGTATCGCAGATAAATCCAGCACACTCACATTTAGCTTTTCTGCAACGCCTTCATGATTCATTATTAGGCTCTTTTCCCATCTTCAGTGGCCATGTTTTTAGCTAGCTGGACGTCCATGGGGCTCTGCACCTGGATGACCATCATTATCTTCGAACTAGGCAGTCATATGGGTGGAGATGAATTCGCCCTTCTAACACACGCACCCACCTACCTGCAGTATCCAGCATCTGCCAGAAGACTGTGTTTCCTTTCTTGGTGCACTTCCGAATCGTGGAGAGTTGACACGTCAGACAGTAAAAGTTACGTCGTTCTCTGACAAGACAAATTAATGCTTCTTTTGCCTTACTTCGTTGCCACAGAATTCCTAAATTTCGGCAGCTAGCAGTTGTGAACCACTTTCATTTCAGACCTCGTATCTTAGTGCCACCAAAAACTTTACGAGTTATGTGACCAAGAAAGTAGCTTTGTCATAGATGTGGAAAGGGACTCTGAGACTAGGAGCATTTACATTTCTCCGTACTACCGTCTCAGAGGCAGAATTAGGGAGGATGAATAAGGCCAGGATAATTGCTACGCATATTATCCACTCGTATGTGATGTCCTTTTGACTATGTAGAGTTGGATGAAACGTCTATCACGCATCACAACTTGTACCCCTTCAAAAACGTTTCCATGGGAAAGGATTTTCTCCTCTCCTCCGCGCTCGCCGTGGGATAGCATTCACCTTCTTGCATTATAAAATTTTCCCACCATTACCCAGGTATCCACATTCATTTTTGTTCCTCCAGGTGTATTCTCACATTACCGTTTGTCATTTTATGAAAGAAGGACTAGCCTACGCTATTCTTCGCATCCATAAAGCAGTCCGGTTAAAAGGCCAGTGTTTTATGTATTATTTTATGTTTGGTTTTGGTCGCACACTGTTTGATGACATTCTTTTAAAATTCTTATGGCTTAAACTTTACAAAAAAGACAAATAAGCGACAGCCACATTTGCAGTTAACATTTTAATTAGACAAGTCTTCTAGATGCTCAGTGTCCGGGAAATGCATTTTGATGGATTGCTAGCTAAATCTGATATCCATTGAGCAGATTTTTCTTCTTAATATAAGAAGGGTTAAACATTTCTCCAATCTGAAATACTTTTCCGCAGCAATTGACGGTATTTGTTGTTTTTTTCCTAAATGGTCAACCGACGTTTGAAAGATATTGCGATAAGACATTCCAAGTCTTTATTTACACAAGGAAGTATATTTTTTATATTCCTTGCTCTTGCCCGGACGTGTGTTAGAGTATATTCTTTTATTCATTTACAGCAACTGAATTGTTGGTCGGGAAAAGGGAATTATCTAGTTTTTTTTTGTTATCAGGAGGGAAGAAATCTGAACCGGTGGGGAGGGATGAATGTGCAAGTTAGACTGAGATTTCTGACTCTCACTTTCCCCCCTTTCTAGCTTCATCGTAAGAGCCGTGATAGGTGCAGATGCTAAGTGTTTCCTTTCTCCATTATAAACAGCCAGCACCCATGACGTGTCAGAGCCCCAGACCAGACAGGCATCTCCAAACCGAAGAGCACCGACCGATAGTGCCAGCTTGTGTATGCATCCTTGTGTGGTGATCGGAATTTCTTGTGAATACTGGAGACATCCGACTCAAACCTGTGGCGGTAGTGGGACGTTGAACAACTGAGATGCTAAGCAGTTAGTGATGAGACAACTGACTAGCTAGTTTAATGGTGCAGGCTTTTGCAAGACAGGCGATTGCACGTGTATGTGTCAGCGGCGATCGCGTTGTAAGTCCACAATGATACAGTAGTTATTCCCCCCTGATTCATTTATTTATTCATTGATTTATTCATACATTCCCGATTCATCCAGCCCGCAGCAAATCCGCCCCATAGAACTCACAACCCGTTTTGGTGAAATTACGATTACGCGGGAGAAGAAGGCTCCTGTGAGCGCGACGAAGATAGCACAATCATTTACAAACGCGAACATGGGGAATTTGGGAAAGCTGGTTCAGCTGAACCGACAAATTTATCTTTGCGGAAGTTGGCTTGGAGACAATAGTTAGACGCTCTGAGATGAGTGCACAATTGTGACAGTAGAAGTAGGAAACTGTAGGGAGAGATAAATGCTGTTTGAACTACTTGAATTTTGGCTTTTTTTTATAAACTCAAAAGCCTTCATTTAACCTGGATGACTCTCGCATTATGCTTCCTTTTCCCCTCTTTCCCCCACCAGAAACTAGAGATGCAGCGACTATAGGACAGGAAGGGGAGTCTGAAGCTGGAGGTAATGACAATGAGGTGGCAGTGGATGCTGCTCTGGAGGAAATCAATTTTTCTCCTCAAGTTGACGCTGAAAGCATCACTGCTCCCACCATTTCTCCCCTCAATACACCGCTCGAGTCTTCCTCTCTGCCTCCTCTGGGCCCTGCAATTCATCAGCTACAGCCGTCATCGAGTAATGCTCGACCATCAGCACAACTCTCCCAATCTGACATCCGTCGCTTCCTCAGTACCACATCATCTCTCCACCCACAGCGACAGCAGCAGTCAGCGGTGATGGCTAGATCTCGTATGTCGCAGTTTGCCTACTTGCAGGTGAATATTGTCGGATTTTCAATCTAAACACATTAGGTTTGTCTTCTCCCCATCGCTTCCCTTTATTACTAGCCCATGAATATGTTCATTCTTGAAGAGGTTTTTGAATGTTTTGGTTGATTGGATCAAGACCACCAGTGGAACAGGGGAGCTAGTATATTTTGAATGGAATTCTCGGAAGTTTTGTCCTGGGCCTCTTTGGTCAGATTCAGTTTGATTCATGAAACTATGCCAAATGATAATTGAGATGCTTATTCTAAAGATAAAAGACATTTTGTCAAGTTAGATTTCGGAGAGTTCATTCAAACAAGAGCTGTGCAGTGTTTTACTTACCCATGAAATTATATGCGAGACTTCTACAGGTTATCCATACGGAATAATTTATGCATAAAATGGGCAGTGATTTGAATAGGTCTCGCCCTCAGCATTCCTAGTTGTTATATATTTGCTGCCTTTGTTAGTTTTATGTTGAAATTGTATGCAAGACAGGAATTAACATTCACTGGCTTTTTATATTATCTTTTTATCTTTCAGTGTCTTTTGTGAAGCCATGGATAATTTGTGGGTAAATGAAGCTAAAGAACAGTCGAGGATTTGATTAGCTGATGAATGCACACCCACGCATTAGGAAGAGGTGATTTCACGCATGTGCTACGTGGGAGAGTGAAATCAAGTTAGTGCTGTAGGATGGGACAGTCGTGATATAGGCAGAAAGTTGAGTAGACGGGACAGATTGGTAGATGTAATCACTGTACGGTGTGTATGGAAGCAGACATAGGACAGAGACAGGAAGACAGACAAAGTGGCAGGTAGATGTGCAGACAGTTGGGCGGAGGGAGAGGTAGACAGATAAGCGACGATATAAAAGCACAGAAAATTAGGATAGGCGAAACGGAGAGGCGAGTAGATTGGTAGACAGATGGTTTTGCAAACAGAAAGCGAAATGCACGGGATAGGTAGACGGTTACAGGGCTGGTCAAAGGAGCTGGGTAAGGGGTAGTCGGTTCTCCACCACCATAATATTCTCTACTCGCTTCACAGGACATTTATTACGACCGACAACAACGACGCGGCGGTGGCAGTGAGGTCCACTCCGTGCGGGGGATGTTGGTAAGTGTGCAATCTCAGCTAGAGCACCACAATGGTCAACGATGGAGTCTCACAGTGCGTCTCACCGACGGCACCGCGATCCTCGACGCTGATATGGAGGACGAGCTGCTGCATCGCCTCATCGGTCTCTCCGCGATCGAAGTGGAGGCTATGAAACAACTGGGACGTCAGGGGGACGAGGTGAGTGGTTCTTGCAATGCGAAAATCGCCATCACAACTGCACTTTCTGTTGATGGATCGTTGGACTGGAAGATGAATGTTTGGATAGGCGGATAAGCAGATGATTAGGTGGAAAGTTGTAGTGATGGATAGGTCGGAAATGAATGGTTGGACAGATGAATGATGTAGCCGAATTGAGTTGATGTTCAATGAATGACTTTCCTAATGATCTAATTAAAAATCTTCCTCTGAAGTCTTCAACTCGTGTGAGCCCTGTGACCAGTAGAAATTTTTTGCCATTCATTGAACAATATGGTATTTAAGGTTGAAGAAAATTTATCGTAATGCGAATTTTTGACAAAGTATTTAAGCATTCACTACTCTTAAACACTCAAACATTTAAGCCCAATTATGGAGAAATACTAATAAGGTTGTCATAAGCTCCATAAGCACGGACGCTGTCGAGTTTTTAACTCGGACAATCAGGAGAAATCAAGACTTTGACACGAATGGCTTTGCTGCAGATCTGTATGAGTAAGCTGGAGGTACGACAGGTGTGTATACGTCTGCCGACTGGCTGTTGAAAGCCTGCCCTAGGTGATGTTGACGGAATAGGAGGTCTAAACAAGAGCATTAGTTTTGAGACGTTCTAGAAAGTTTGCAAAGGAAACACGAAAGGGAAACTTCTGGGTAATAGAAGCAGGAACGCTTTTTCCGAGGTTTTGGACATCCGTAGTAGCTCCACTTGAGCCGCTGGTAGTAAAAGATGCTTGTTGCGGTGTACGACTTGCCTAGAATGTTTTTTTGCCTACTTTCAAGAATTTCCTCATCCCTTATACCTCTTGTTGGAATTTGACCCATCTGGAGTTGGAAGGTCAATCGTAGCCGTCTAGACAACGTTGTAGCACAGATTTGATTAGTTATAATTTTTGTGAAATCTCGCGGTTATTAGTTTGTCCCTTTTTTCTACGCTAACGTAGTCGGCTACCTTTCAACTTTTAAGGGGTAACTGACTACGTATTCGGAAATAATTTCGGACCTATTGATAGGGAAAATTAAAAGGAAATTTTGCTTAAGGAAGATTTTGACTCCGAATCCTTCATATGAAAGTCCTTTTTCCAAGTCCTGCTGACTGACAAGTAGTTTGGCAAGCTTATTTGTCTCATTACTCTGTGTAAAGGCTTGTTTCCCTTGGTATGGTTGGTATTAAGTGAACCAGGCTTGAGAAATTTGTTTCCATTCCACCGTCAAATGTTGACGTTTAGGAAGTATCGCCGAATGACAAATTCAAATTGCAAGTGTCAAAGACACCTTCCTCGCTTAAGCTCACTGCACTGCGTCTTCATCATGATCCAAGATCCTCAAGTACTGGGAGTTTGGAAGCCATGATCTTACGGAAACGATGATAGTCGACGCGTCGGTTTTCAGGTCAATTTGTGTCCCAATCTTCACTGTTAGGTAATTTAAAAGAAATGTGGTTTGCTCAATTAGTTATTAATTTCCTTTTGTTGAACGGCTTCTGATAGTTGAAGTCGAATTTTCGGTTTTATTCCTCTTCTGTCTTTGAATAATTGCGTAGTAGAGCTATTTGACGCTACTTGTACGTGACACCAGATGTATTGTCTACTCCGAATGTTTGGGTTTCATTAGCCAAGATCTGATTTGGAAGAAAGTTTAATTTCTCATTTACCCATGGCCTTTCCATTTTAGAATTTTCCTCTCAGTGGAGAGATTCTGTCCATTAAGTATTTTCCGGGTTTTATCAACACGTGAGTGGGTGTGTGGGATTGCGTGGGAAGGGGAATTTCATGCCTAAAATCTAAGCAATGTTTAAGCTTTCAGTCATCAACACTCATTATCCGATAAACCATAGTAGAAATTTGTGTGTATAAAATAAATGTTTTTTCTGTCTACTGTTAAATCCACGGAATTCGTTTCGCTATTGAAATTTCAGGTCATTTTGGCCTCCTAGAGATACTCGACTGTCCGCTTGATGAAAGATTTAAGTAAGTTGAAAAGGACCAATAAAATTTTGAGGAGTGGTATTTTTTTCCTGAGAGAAATTCATTTTCACTCCTTTGGGGAAAAAGTTTCTCAGAATTTTTCAGCGGATTCTAAATTTTACTAGATTTAGTAGTTATATCTAGCAAGATCTAAATAAAGCCTCCTAAAATTGGCTCTTAGTTAAGCCGGGAGGGGAAGAGATGTAACTTAGTGTGTGCGTGTGTGTCACGTTTCGAACTCCCTTCGAGGAGTTAACCTTTTGGAGGAGAGCCGAGAGATTAACTACAAGTCTCAGCTCTCTTGAGTGGAATAGTGAACATTTTATTGTTAACATCTTTCGAATTGAGTCTTTTGTATTGACACTTGTCAAGTATTTTGCCCAAACAACGGTGCGATTCAGCGGCTACTTATTTCCTACACCTTAACCTTGTGGTAGCTTAAAGGTGGAGAAGCAGAGACGGCGGGGAATTTCATGAGTAATTAAATACGAGCAAGGTGTCTTTGAAAAAGCACAGTATATTACCTTTAATAACCCCATTTTCACGACTTTACGGGCTTTTTCAAAGTTTCATCGTTCATGAAATCCATTTCCTTTCATTGTGCCATTACTGACGTCGTTTGGCATGTGGGATTCTTTTCCCCTTTTTCATTTTCTCCCGAGTTCACGCTGAGGATTGTTTTAAAACTAACCGATCTGTGGTGGGAAGTCAGGATTTTAAATGGAAATGTAGAATTCATGATGAAGTCTCAACTCCTGACAGTGGTGGTGATGAGGCATATCCTTAACAAAGTGGAAGACAAATAAGCTTTTGAAGCACCAAGAGTGCTAATTATCTTTTTATCTCATTAAGGTACCCAGTAACTTATTAAAAAAAGACAGTTCCAAAGATGGGATTCCAAGTTTGGATGACACTTGCCGTACATCAAAGCAAAGTGGAACTGAGACACTAGTAATCTTATCTCCTGGGCTTTGAAAACACACGGAAATCTGTCAAGCGCAGGGTAAACAACTGGCCGAATCCTCCACCTCTCCCTCGCACAGATGTTGATTGAAAATTTTTTGTGCTTTTACTAAAGTCTGTTTTCAATTTTGGAAAAAGTATTTTTACAAACGACTCAAAATTGATGAATGTACAAAGCAAGCTCTCAGTATGACATCTTTCAGCCCTAAACAGCGCCTTCTTTGATCCACAAGAAAAGGAGTTCATCAGTTGTCGAAATTGGCTAGGTGAGTATTTTTTACACATCGCCTTATGGCCCATTTGTACTATTCCCACAATCTTTTTTCTCACGATTCCGCATTTGAAAACGTTTTAAAAACTATAAAGAATCCCTAAAGGCAGGTTTGAGCCGATGCTGTAGTACTAGGTTTGAGCTCTGCAGATAGTTCATTGCAGATTCATGACGAGACATCAGATGTCAAGAGGGTTGCGTCTTCAGGTCAAGAGTCGAGTCACTTCTTGAAAAGCTAAATCTGACAATAAGAAGTTTTACTGAGCAAAAAGTGTCTTTTTTATAAAATCTGTTGAGGTAGTACTCTCTTTCCTCAGAAATGCTCGGTCCCTGGTCTTCCACTATTTTGATGGTGGTACTCACGATTCTAAGGATCGTTCTCGAATTCAATGGTAAAACATTTTCGGAATAATTAAAAATTTTTAAAAAGAGACTGGAAATATCGTGATTGGAAGGTATCATTTTTGTTTTTAAAGAAAAAACCCGAAAATGCAACCAGTTTACTTCTCCTCATCAGAGGACTTAGTGTTTAAAATATGCTCGTTGGGAAACCTCTCTAGTCAAATAGGGAGAATATTGAACATTAGAGTCCACTGAATGAATTTTCTCGGATATACTTACCGCCAATCTCACAGACGGGCTCTTTCTTTCAGCCAAGAAAGTAGAATGTAGCCTTGAAGTGCATTTCCACGTTACTGTGAGGCATTGAGTTTAGGTCTCAAAGGCATTCTCGACATGGAGACGTGTCTGTCTGCCTTCTTCACGTCGTCTTCGCATCTCCTCATAAATGCTATGGTTGATAATTTATCTAAAATTTCTTTTCTGGCAATGAAAAGCTGGAATTTGTTGATGAGAAACATGAAAATCTATTGACTCTATCTTCGCCGTTTATCTGGTATATTTTCCACTCATCTCTCTTCTTATTTCATCATTTTCATAGAAAAGAAAATTCCCTCCAAAATTGGCCATTCTAAAGGTGGTAAACTCCATATTAAATGTCTCCCGATTTTAAGTTAGACCTGCAAGACTCTTTGAATGCGTTGATTTTCATTTTGACTGACCGCGATTAAACACATAAGAGTGAGTTACGGGATACTACAATCCCATTATTCCATGTGGAGTTGAATTTTCTCTAGAAGAAGAGAAATACACAGCTTAGTTTGAAGGCGTTTTTTTACCTCTCCATTTCAAAGATTCATTATAAGTTATTCTCGTGCCGCGTCTTAGAGAATTTTATTTGTGAACGTAATTACTGTTACACCTCAACTCTTTCCCATGGGCACGCTGGATAGGTGACGGGTCAGTTTTGCCTCTACACGCAAATAAACTAGTCATAGCCGCCGTCGCCGCTTCTGTCGCGCTCTTATCTCCCACTCGGCCTATTCTATTTACCCTGTGATCAAATGATTGCTTCCTGTCAAGAGAAGGTAGGAATTACCTGAAGAAAGACTATCAGTGGAATACGGGGGACGAGGATGTGGTAGTGTCTCCTGCCCATTCTAAAGTGATCTGTGAGGCCTATGTACGGTTGAATTTTACTGTGATGTGCCCTATAAGGTCTTGTAACTAATAGTTTCGTCCGACAACTTCACTAGTCCTGGTTGTTTTTCAAGAAGTGGTTTTCTTGAACACCTTTAAGCTGCATCAAGTCGTATCACATCGTGTCAACCACAGCCGTCATTGCTAGGCCATTAACCAGTTAAAGGCGTCTGCAGGGCACCAAGCACACAGACAAAGTAACTGACAAGTTCTAAAGTATATGGTACATTTTCGTAGCGTTATTGGCATTTGTCATTGAAGAAGTTACCAAGATACGGTAGAGGAGGTAGAAGCTTCCACAGCTTCTCAAACGTGTTAGCACCTGGTCATTAAACAGACAAGCTCGAATCAAATCCCTTGAGTTCATTTAATCCACCTTTTATGATATTATACTTCAAAATAATGAAGGGTAGTGTAGACGATGCTAAAGCGTACCCCATCGGTAGACTGACTTTCATTTATGCCTGCAGATCACATACTTCAGGTACATTCCATCGACCTTTTATGACATTATCTTACAAACGAAGGAAAGGTCGTGGAGAGGATAGCAAGGCATACGACATAAATAGACTGGTCCGCATCTATACCTGCGTGCATTTGACAAGCTCCTCTAAGCATAACGAGGCATTGCAATGAGTTCCACTCGATTGCTAGGTGAATCTTTTGTTGGTTACCTCGTCCATTTCATAATAGGAATCTGTGTGAATGTCTTAAATCGGACCCACCTTATTCAACGGCCAGGTAAACGTAAACCAACTCTTTATTGCTTTGAAGATCCAGTCGATGAGAAGATTGAAAAATTGGCTAAATTTGCCTTTTTAAGTTCATTTCAAGTTAATTTCATCAAATCATCTCACTCCAATTTGTTGTTTCCAGCACAAAGAAGAAAAGATGTCACTTTAGAATTGCGTTTTAACGCCAGCTTCAAACCTATTCATATCTGCGAAAGGGTAAAAAATTGCTTTTATTAAATCCTCAAGATGTTAGATCTTGAAGTGAATTGGGCAGACGAGAATTTTTCCTCTGGTAAAGTAGAGCGACTAATTGCTGCAAACTTTGAATTCCCTTTTGGGAAACAGCGATAATGAGTAGCGTGAGTGCGTTGATTAGACCTTCGTTTTCTCCTTCTCCCGATCATTTTCTTTGTAAATCTCACAATGCCTCAAAAATCTTGCCTTCAAGGATGTAGCAGTCAAGACTAGGTTTTAATTCCTCATCATCATAGCCAAATATGATCCGCAGCTGTCAGGTATCTTCAGATCCTGAAGCCATGGCGGGTGGGCTTTACCGAGGTTTGTCAGTGCCTTTATATTTAGACTATTTATAGCCTTGCTACCACTTCATCGTAGCATCACCTTAGTTCCTGTCTGACATTTGATTTCGATGTCCAGCTCAGTCGTTACTTTTGCAGAGCGTCAACTGGGCATACTGAGCATGACGCCCGACTCAAATTTAGATGCCCTCACCTCCGGCTCTAACATACGTGCCCCTAGTCGCATAGATATCCGAACCGATTTGAAAGAGATTCCTTTACCGATTTACTGATAAAATTGTGGAAGTCTGATATCTTACTGATATTGTGGGAATGAAATTGAGGTGAAAATCTTGTACTTTTTACGACAAACATTCTCGTGACAAGTGATTGGCATTGCTATGATACTTTTATATTCAATTTCCTAGCAGTTGATATGGCAATTTATTCCTATTATAGTCGACTAAATCCATTTTTGTCATTGAATTGACAGCGGTCTTTTCCGTGTGATTGCACGCACTATACTAGGGTCACTCAAGTCAAAACGGGACCTCTACCTTTGCCTAACTTTATACTTACATTATAAGAAAAGTGGTTTGAGTTTTAATAACCGGCAAACATTCTGTGCGTGGGCCAGACCAGACTGGACAGACACCCCCTAACCACGTGTTGTTAGCAGAATTTCTTGTGAATAATGGAGGCATTCGACTCAAATCCGTGGCGTTGGGACGTTGTGTCACCTCAGGCGCTAAACAAGGAGTCAGCGATGCGATAGCTGGTTGGATGGTGTAAACGGTTGAAGGACAGGTGGTGGTTGTGCGTGTATACGTCAGTGGTGATCCAAGTAGTGGTGGTCCCGTTGCCAACCCACGACGACGCAATAGTCTTTCACTCCTGATTCACTTTTCCATTTATTTATCCATCTATTGGCTGCGGACGTTCAGCCAGCAGGTGAATGACCAATCGCCAAAAGCCGTCGCTCAATTTTTACAATTCTTAAGCAAATCGCCGACCTAGGTAAAGGTGTTGAAAGCATTCTTCGAATCTTCTGTATAGCGTTTGATGAGGGTGCGGTATTCAGCAGTGGATTACGTTACCCAAAAGTCGTTATGGATCGCTGAAAGGTAGATGCATCACTTTTAGGAGGACCTCCCATTCTTGATAATGTATTACTGCTAAATGTTACTGTCGCACACATCACTTGAGCTTGCTGTGTCAAGACCAACCCTCGGTAGTGCCCAGTGAGTGTTAAAGCAATCGGTTTAAGCTCATACTAACTGGGAAGCAAAAATCGTGGTAAATGCTGAGACAGTTGACAAGTCTGAACGACTATCCGGTTTGTTATTTGCCTGTTTCATGTCCGCTGTCAAAACACTGGGGATTTTAGGACTTACCATTGGTTATTACAAACAATCCATTCACTACTTGTTGCACACATCCAAGGTACCACTTTTCTTCCAGAAGGCCGTGCTTTTTTATGTGTTTGGTGGACTGCAGACGCAAATATGTGCATGGCGAAGACCATACAAATACGACAGTGACCTACTTGATACGGTTCCTCTCGAAGGTTTGGAGGAAGACATTCTTATAAAATGATCCAGCAATAGTGAATTAGTTGGAAGATGTTCTACTCTTAGTCACATGGGGCATTACAGGACTTTATTTCGCATGTGGCTGCGAGGTACCCCTTAAGAGGACCCATAGTGTCATCCTGTCTTATCCCCCTTATTGTCCTCATGCCTCCCCAAGTAATATTTATTGCCTAAGCATCAGAAAATCAAGCTTCAACGAGAATAGACTAAATGGGATATAGAAGGGAGACAAAAATTGACAAAAGGCTTTACAAAGGTAGAATTGACACCTATCCAGCGTAAATATCCATCCCCCCCCCCTACCCATCCACCCATCCATCCACACATCCATCCTATATCCATCATTCCATCCTGTATCCATCTATCCATCTTATATCCATTCATCCTGTATCCACCCATCCAGCCATCCATCCATCTACCCATCCTGCATCTATCCATCCATCTATTCACCCATTCATTTCTTGTCCATCCATCTATCTAGTGATTGTTTCTGTAATATTAAAAGGTTTTTTTTGCTATTTATTTTTTTAAAGGAAATGCAGTGGAAAATTGCCCTAACGGTTGGCTTTTTAAGCATTCAAGACTCACTAGTTTGAAACCCTAAAATGCTCCTTTCATTGCTCTATTCAGTGGGAAAATTTACAAGTAATTTTAAAGCCCTCTCTTTTACAGGGTAGCCTCTAAGCGCTCTTTTCCCAGGTGACCTTTAATGAAAGTGAAGAGGTTTGAGTTTTCAGAAGGGCGGGCTGAAACCTCCTCCCAAACAACAAACTCCATTTTCCCATTAATCTTTTGAATTTAATCATTATTTTAATCCCAGAATCTTTACTCTTCTTAAGAATTATTAGTAGAAACTTTAACTTCTAAGCGTGAATTTGTCAAGGACCAGTTTTACCTCCAAATTGGATCGTCTTTTGCCACTTCCCCATTTGGGGTGTACGTGTTTGCGTCTGTCTACAGGTTGAATAAAAACTGTGATAGGCTGAGCGTATCCCAGCAGCAATCTTTCAAAAAATTAAAATACCTTTAAATAACTGGGCGGAAATTCGAGTTACAAAATCCCATGGAAGCAGCATTAACTTGTTTTTAAAGCGTCAGAAATGAGGGCCACGTAAATATTTTCAGATGAAGGTAATGGATTATCGTAAAAAAGCGTTCTTAATGAAGACCTTGGTGTTACCGGAATGCGTGGCGGTAATCACCTCAACAAAGGAGGGCTAGAGGTCTCATGGTTGTTGAACTTCTCCATCACTTACTCCCCAGTCCAGCAGGTTGTATGGAGGAGAAGTCAAACGGCTCCCTTTGATTCAGGGCTTGACGATCATTTTCAGCGGTTGGATGTAGATTGGGCCACTAGTCCTACGACCTTGTGGGGCGGGGGGAGGGGGAAAGGTGAGAATTCCGTTGAGAAGACTCAGGGTTTGTGTAATCTCCGTCTGATCTAAAGAAGCGCAATGGGAGCGCGACACACTTTATCTTTTGTTTTAAAGTTTCCTGTTCTTTTCTTTTACAATAATAGAATTTATTGAAAGTTACCCCATCTGTGATTAATTTTTTTTATTCTTTTTCATCTGCCAGAGTCAAAGGCAACGACTGAGGGCGATAATAAACGCATTTCAACTGAAATTGTGTCATTTCAGTGGAATTTTTGAAGTGATCTTCCCTGATGCCTCCTCTGCTTCTACCTCTAGGCCAAGGATCCGTCATTTCCAGCTGCTTGATCAGCAGTGGCCCTCATTTTTGCAGGACCGTATCTTATGACTTCCTTCATTCAGCCGCAATAGAGCCGTATTTGTGTAGAAAGTAAAGGAGTTGTAACTCTCAAAGTCATTCTTGAGGATGTAATAAGGTTAGTGGGAATAGACACTCCTGAGTATGGACGGGAAGTCCACTGCCTGAGACGCCGAGGCGACTGAAGTGCCTATGCTCCCTCTTGAATACGGAAACTGCTTTTGGAGGAATTCGAGTAAAGTTTGAGGCTTTATTTACAGCAAAAATTCTAGTTGGAAAAAGTAAGGAAGGAGTTAGCAATCTTAGGTGAGATTTTTGTAAGCACTATGGGATTTTTTAATGGGAGGGTATAAAATTCCCAGGAAATTTAAGGCGATTTTTTCTCCCTGATAGCGCATATTAGATATAAAATCCTCTTCTCACCGCAAGTCAGATGAGGGGAATTCTAAAACGGGGGATTTTTCGCTTTATAATGGTCAGGAAGTAAGGGAATGATGAGTTACCAGTCTTGGGGGCCTAGTGTTTTGTGTTAGTGCAAGTCGTTTCTAGTGAAGCTAAAGAGTCTAAATTTTTTCCACGCTTTGTCATGTCTGCCACTAGTGTCACGTATATGTGACGCCAGATTTTCTTGTCTGTGCCTCCATATAACGAAGGTGTGACATGTACCGTTTGTCCCCGTATAATAGCCAGTTACTTTGATTGGTGCATTGCGAGCGGAGTGGTTGAGGAGGAAGAGGACGACAGCGATGACGGGGAACAGTTGAATTGGCCGAAATAGTCGACTCTTGTGGTCAATTTTCCTCTGATACCTCAAAAGGAACAGCGTCAGGCATTACTTTGCTGGGACCAGAAAAGTTTACTTTTTGCTTCATTCTGGGTCGAGATTCCAAAATTTGATGACCTCTTGGAGTCCTCTCTGCCGCATCTTTAAGTAGGCACAGGTAGGTTGATCCACGAATCCTCTAGAGGCTGAAATTTAACGATCACTGAGAACGTTAGCAGCCAGTGTTTTTTTATTTTACGTTCTTAAATAGGAAGATTTAAATCTCCTTTTTTGCATGAAAGGAAATACACATCTTCCTGAAAAAATAACTATGACTATACTAATTTAAAATAATGCCTTCCTAACAGTCCGGAAAAAAAAGGTTGATTTATTTACCATGTAAAGCCCAGTTGCTGCTTGGACCTCAAAGGGTCAAAAGTCAACAATTGTTCTTAGTCAACCGGAAAAGCATTCAACGCCTACCTACCGTAAGCCACTAAAATACACGCGTCACATATGTGCGACGTTAGTGGTGAGCGAGTGCACTGGTGAATTTATACACCTGCAGATAGGGCAAGACATCACATTTTGAAGTACATCAATGGAGGCGACAAATTTGAGACCTCCTGATGAAGTGTTTTCCCCCGGTGATGAGGACTTAAATGTCCTTTTTTACTGAACCACTTGGCGCTCTCGAAGTAACCTTGACCTACTACAGATTCATCAAACCGTATGCATCGTCCAAAGGCCTAATCAGTATAGGTCCTCATCTTAGGGGCAGAACCGTCTTTATTTTCATCTCTAAACCGTAAATACGTCTGGAAGGAGGGTTTCCAAAGCCCTCTGTGATTGTCAACATTGCGAAATTGTAACTTATGTTATTAGGGGACAGTGGGAATAGTTCGCTATTTCTTAATGGAAAGAAAACAAGCCCGTGTGTTGAACCCACACTGCGTTCCCATCGCGGACCTCACGGCAGATATGGTCACGAATCCGAGTAATTTGTCGCTGCCTCCCGCCCACCTGTTAGTTGGAGTAATTCTTTGCTAAGACAACCTCACCTCGAGAGGACAATCCTTGTCTTATATTCCATTTTCACCTCTCAATTACCATGTGGAGGAGATTTTTCAAGCCACGTAAGAAAATTGAAACAACACTGGAGGTTCTACTTAATCAGTGCTTCAGCTAGTGATGCATCACCGTGCGCAGGTGGTGTTACTCGGTGGATGATACAAAACTTTTGAATAACTTTGGATGCAGGCCTTCTTCCCTTCGCCTTAGGCAGCGATCTTCTACATTATCCATTTAAATGAGGGCGATATGGACGGTTGATTGAGCTCTTCCTTTTTTCCTCCCAGAAGTCTTGAAAAAACAAAGGTAGATTTTACTTTATTCTTAAATAAATTATAGGCTCTAAGGCGTTTTTTCTCTGTGGCCATCTCACTTCTTTTTTTGCACAAGCCAAGTTTCGCCTTACAAACCTGGAAACAAATCCGGTTTAAACGGATAGTTCAATCAAAAGCGTAACCAGTACTTCCTTTACAACGGAGTTGGCTACTCACAGCGATGATTGACACTTCTAAAATGTTTTGATTTAACCAAGATTGAGGAGATTCAACCTTGGCAGATTTGGTTCATTCCACAACTTTCGTCAAAGCAACAGTTATTAAATGGTAGCCTTGATTCCGAAACTGTAATTGCCAGACAAATAGTTCGTTTTCTTGATGGACCTTGAATGGTCTCCTACGATCTCGTGGCTTTTGTAATGCTCTCGAAGGCGGTGTGTAGGTGGAAGTTTAGGAGCACAAGACTGGAAGACAAAGTGATGTATTTTCATAGGCTCTTGATATCACTGGCGAGGGTAGCTATCCCAGGGTACGAACGAGGCGCTTGTTTCTTCAGATCAACAATGAATGGAAATTTGATGGTTGCCTCCACAACGAAGCACTTTTTTGTGTCCTCCTCTGTAACATTTTTGTCACCTGTTTTCTTGAAGGGGTACAAGGCAAAGAATCAGGGTTTCCTTACCTCCTTAGTGCAAGAATCATCGAAGTTCTCGTGCTTTAAGACTGCATAAGGGTTGACACTCGGCCGTTAAAGCTCAAATGGTTATGGTAATGTCCTGTTCTGAGTAAATGTACTTCCTCTGCGGGCGAATTCGATTTAACTAACACATTCTCATATCTGTTGAATCCCTATGGATCACGATGAAGGTCTATGCCAGTGTTGACAACGAATTCGACGGACAGGTTGGGTTTCAGTTGATCAGCTTGCGTCCCTCAAGGTATCACAATGTTTTTTCGGCTTTTTAATCTCCTTTGCTACCAATATATAACCTAACCGTATCCTAGCTTAAAAATTCATCTTGCAAAATTAAGTTAGAGGGGAAGCTGAACTCAAGGAGGAATGAGTAATGGCTCATATCGTAGTGCTCGCTGGATCTGGTGAATGAGTTTCGAGCCGGTTTGATTTACAGACCGAGTTTAACTAGCTTTTAAAGGCGTAGAGGAGGTGGTAGGTGGAGGAGGCGTAATAGCAGAATCTGCCTCTTGAGGCGATTGGAAAACTCGCTTTGAGGCGACAAGCTCCTCAAAGGCAGATGTGTAACATTAGGTGTGTCCGTCCAGTCTGGGGCATGAAGAATTACTTGTCACTATTGATAGGGAAAATAATTGGGAATTAAGGGATCAAGAACACCTTACTGGATGCTGCATAGCGATTCGTCTAGGTCGTGGGAAGAAATTGTTTAAACACACCATCTCACAGCAAAAGCTGTAGTGAAGGTTAGGGAAATGGCATGAATTTGACAGGTGACGTTGCTTCCGCTTTTCACCCTACTCATGCACAGCAAATAGACTCGCCGTGGTGAAAGATCGACTGATAAACGTTTGTTATGGAAAAAAATATTTTGCCAGTTACTTCAAAACTGCCACTGCAGACTTCTAAAGTTGGTGCCACTTCATTGTCAAAAACCCGTAAACACTTCTTACGCATGTCAATACGTGTTGTATGACCTGCTGAGGGTTTTACAATCGTGACTGAGAAGTAACTGATAAGATTCACTTTAAAGGTGTGCAAGAAAACGTCTTCTTGTGAAACAGTCAGGACTAGTGAGTCAGTTGGAAGAAAGCCCCCTCAAAGCAATGCAAGACCTTTTGACCTCATACGCTCTAATTTATCCACAAGGCAATCTAATATAAAACTTGAGGATGAAAGTGAAGGAGGTAGGGATGCCCTTTACCCTCATCTACCACGTCCCACTGGTTAGTACTCCTGCAGACGAAGGTCATCCCCTTTTCCTGCCATTAGACAATATTGTGTCAACTTGAATGGGCTGATGACAAAGGGCTTTCTTTTCGTGAGTGCAAAGTTTGCAAATAATCATTGTCTCATTAGAAAAAGAGCATACATCGCAAATATTGCTGTTGTTTTGTTTTTATTAGGAAAAAATAGCTGTACAAAAGTTGCTATTTATTTCCCTAGGACAGGCCTTTAACTACAAATTTAATATTTCTATTCTTTTCCCTTCCTTTACCGGTTTCAGACCTCTGGATCGAGGAAGGGTTGTTAGCAGAAGAACTTATGAATTTTTGAAACATGGGATTGTAAAATTGATCAGCCTTTTATGGGGGATTGGAGATTATCCCCCCCTCCTCCTCCTCCTCGAGGCTAGACTGCACCTTCTCAGTCACGCCGATCCCCTAGTCTGCAACATCTTTGATTAATTACCTGATAAATAGGCCGATTGAGAAGCATATATCTGGTCTTAGGTATTCATTTCCAATAATTATTAATAAGTGCCTTATTTTGAGCTCCTGCCGAAGTCGTAATGTCCCAAAGCAAGATAAAAGAGCGCACTGCTTGCTAACCCACTGAAGGGCTGAAAGGCTCTTCGCCTGGCGCGAAAGCCATGCTCCAGAGCGGCGGCACAACCAGCGAAGGTTGAAATCACCGCTTAGGCAAATAAACAATTAAACGAAATGTTAAATAGCTGTATACTAATTAAAGCACAGGGAAACTAAGAAATGATATAAGAATAGGAAGGACTTTGAATCAAGAAGCCAATGTGGCAAGGTTTACGGTAACTGCATAGAAAAACTTGGGTTTTGGTAACTGAATTTAACCACAAACTCAACGACCAAAACGAAACTAAGTCAGTCAAATATTTTGCTGTTCCTAGCCAAATTGGCATTTTTAGCAATAATTTAAGCCCCATTTAAATTTATGCTGCGGCTTTTGTTTGTTCTTCAGAATAAAAGCATTTTTTTCAACAAAGTGAGCCTTTAAAACCATCTTCTCCGTATTTAATTTTATCAGTTTGCGTCGTGTTTTCAATGGTCTCAAACAAAAAGGTTGGTGGCTCCACTTCAGGACTGTATAGAAAGAAAAAGCCCTTTGTTTTTCATGACCCCTATTAATCCGTCTATTGATGGACAAATCTACCAGCTAATATCTAGTTTTGATCCAGACTTTGTCTTTTAAAATAATAGAAGTTATTGTTAAATTGAAGGAATGACACTCGGAAAAAGTAGGGGTGTCGAGTATTTTCGTAATGACATTGTGATTAATCAAAAAATTTCATCCCCCTGCCCCGGGCTTAATTGGACGATTTTTAAAAGGCATTTACATTCATCTAAAATTTATTTATTATAAGGAGGGCATTTAATGCCTCCAACATCCTGTAATTTCTGCTTTTTGGAATTCGCCTTTCTGGTAACAAACGGTCAGATCGCATCAACCTCGTGGGCGAGCTAAGCCATCGATCCCCAAGACAAAGGCGAGCTCCTCTCTCACATAAACCTGGATAAGCAGTAGACCTCCCACATACTACTTAAGTGGGATATTTCTTCCCCTAACCAATGGTCTAGATCTAAGTGTCTGAAAGCAGAGGCAGAAAGAAGGAGCAATGAAAATATGCTTTTAGTAGCACCACTAAGATGCTGTCAGACAGAGTTCTTTTTGCAAATCGTAGGAAATTTGTCATTTGGATGGCCTAGTTTTTACTAAAAAGAAGATGGGCTTTTGAAATGACATTGACCTTGTTAAAGTTCACCAAACCGCTTAAGTAAACCAGTTCACTGATTTTGCAGTCACGGTAGGTTAAACTCACCGAAAGTTTAGGCGCGTCCTTACAATCCAGAATACCATCTTATTTAGCCACCCAAATAGACCTAAATGTTAACAACAAGTTGCGGGTTAAAAGCAACACCAAGGCAAAATCCGCAATTTCTTAAGAGAATGAAGAACCACTCTTAAAGGTACACAAAAGACATATTTAGGTATACTTCAAAATTCCTTTGGTCCCAGTAAGTAATGCTTAGTGCCTAGTAATAAATCAATTCAAAACCAAACTTACTTCCTTAAGCTGCAAGAATTTACAAGAGTGTATTAGTTTTAAGTCTTACACATTGGTTGGTAGCTTTTCAAACTGTTTATTATTTATATAAATCAAAATTGCACAAATATAATAGCCCATAAGAAGTAAACAAGTTTCTCCGCATTCCACACAGAAAACCAAAGTACTCTGAGTTTATCATATTATACCAAAGTTGTGGTAGGTCTAGACTAACAACTTTGTGTCTGTAAATGAGCAAAAAGATGCCAGCTCTCCCCCATTCCAAATACGCACCGGCGGCTTCAAAGGTCAATCTACTGTAGGCAGTATAGCTAAATATTTTCAAGAACTCAAAAACCACAACAAGTCCTAATTAAAGCCTATCAACAAATAAATTCAAACTTCTAAGGAAAAAGTGACCCACTTTAATACTCAAAAGGTGAAATGTTTCACGTCCACGTAAGAAAGAAGCGCAATAAAGGAGTCTTGTATTTCCCAATGCATTTCTCTTGAGGCAGCTAACAGGAACCCAGTGTTATTAGCTTACTTTAAGAGCTCAGGCCAACCTGTTGATGAATTAAATGTCCACAACAGAAAGGAGCACCTAAATTGAGCTAAAATGTCTCTGATTCCATTCCAATGAAGAGAAATGAGTAGAGGTCAATTTGATCTTTGATTGAGTAATCTCGAAGGTGAGTGTTTTAATCCAGCCACATGCCGCGAATGATGAGGTTCAAATCCATAATTTTATGGAAAAACCTGATTACTGAAACTTTTGTACCTACCTTAATTTTATCATGCTCCAACTTTTCCAATGACTTTTAAACAAAATTAATTCTACCAAGAAAGCCATTTTGAGGATAACCAAACATTATCAACTGCCTCGAAATCTTACTTCATTATTCCTCTTTGAAAATGTATGCACTTTTTGAACCTCTTTAATGCTTAAGTCATTTTTCGGTAGAGGAATTCCAAAGCTTTCCCGATTCTCCCCCAAATGTCATTTCTCATTCCATTCATGTGATCGTTTACCTCCTCCAATAACTAATCACATTTCGAGAATTCCTCTTTATTTTTCCCAAGAAACTGAAAGGTCACTGCCAACAGACAAGCCCAACCAATTGCATGGTCCGCACACACGTCACTACTCACGTACACACACACTCGCAGGTCGTGTTCTGATTGGTACAGTGGGGCACTATAAAGCCTGTCCACCTACAGGTGATACCCTCTGGCAATACGTACGGCTTGAATGACCATGAATTCAAAGCTCTTCCTCTCCCTTACATGCCTCATGTACTTCCTTCTTGTTGTGGAGAGCGGTCATCATTGGCTTCCCGTGAAATATACTGTTGATGCCGAGCCAGACCGAGTATGCGGTCTGCATCCAGTGGATATCCTGATGTCCAGTCTTTTGCAGAATGCTCCCACCAATGACTCGGAGGGCATTATGATGCTCAGCAATGCCCTCACCTCATTATACCGCGCTCAACCCAATTTTTACGCATTCCTGATGCGTTGCACAACAGCGTGGAATCGGTGTCAGCGAGCCAGACTTCAAGGAGGCGAAGGAAGAGAAGCAATGACACATGAGGGGCAGCCTTGGCAGCTCATCTGTAACACGGGATTAACACTGTCAGGCTCAGATCTGATCGTAAATTCGTAGTGATGCAGGGAGGAAAGAAGACTAAAGAGACATCAGCATTCCTCCATCCCCTTTCTGTCTGTATGTGTGTGTGAGTACATGTGATTTTGTGTATTTGCAGTGGATATTGTCTTTTCTTGTTTACGCACGTAGATGAGGCGTGATAGCAATGTAAACCTATTTTTTGATGGAGAAAGAGACCGAATGCTGTAATGTTGCCTTAATTGGTTTCGTGCCCCATCCCACTGTCCGGTCTCTCAACCTTGATACGAGTACTCAAAGGCGCGAATTGTCGGTTTTCTGATATACGTAGAATTTATTAGGCAGAAAAAACAAACTTCTTTCATCTTAAGGGTGTTCAGCCAATAAGCAATGACTTTGTTTGAGAAAGTCATTGTTATTCCAAGACATCCAAATTATTGATTTATCAACAAATAAATGCTATTGTTTTGAATGGCAAGAACTTTGGTCCCAATGGGAACCTTAATTGTAGTACTTTTAAAGGCCAAGAACCTTGGCACAGTCCCATCATCTTGATTGCCCTTTTGTTTTTCAATTATCAATTCCATTTGATAGTGTCAGTGTCCAAGGTCTTGAAAATGTGTTTGACTTAATTTGGAAGGAATGTAGAAGACGCGGATTAGGCAGTATTTACCCTCCGTTCGCTTCTCCTCTACTAACTCACTTGCTCAAGGCTGCGCTTTGCGACATGCGGTAGGAGATCTTGGAAAGAGACTACTCGTCGCTTGATTCACTGCTCATGGCTGTTACGCTAGGCGAAGTTTTCTTGCACACCTTTGAGTTGTATTGTTTCAAAGAGACCTCAGCTGTAATGGTATGACTCTTGACAAGTGAACAATCCTATCTTTAGCGCACCACGTATTGAGCGAGGTAGCTCTTTTGGACATTGAGATAATGATCATGAAGGAAGGGGATGAAAAAGGAAAAGCGTATTGTCATTGCAAGGCAATTGCGTGGGATCCCTTGTTTACCCTTCTCCACGGCTTTCGCAGCCCACTCGATGCGGTCGGGAGTAATTTCCTTCATTATCATTACTCAGGGTCCCCGGCTTTTGGCACTTTCCTCTCCTTCTATTTTCTTCCTCAACAGCCGCTTTTGTTCTTTATGATGGCACATCAAATTTTGGGTGGTTAGCTGTCAAAATTTAATGCCCCAGTCACTTGCGACACCCCCTTTGGTCGTCAGGCTAACAGTAAACGGAGATTGGTAGGAAGCATGGAAAAGAGTGCCACACGTATTGACTGGTTGTCAGGCAACACATTTACTGCCACCGTCACACATTTGTGACTCTTCAAGTAGATGAACTTAGCGTCACGGGTAAGTGACTTTTATTCACCTGCCCACTTTTCCCACTTAAATTTGTATAGAAGCACCCTACCGGAACTACTTACAACTTGTGTAGTATTGCCTCTGGCGGTCAGTCCTCCTCCAAAACCGACTCTTCTAGCATAAGATGTTGATCAGATATTATATTTACCCAAAAAACCAAAAGTGGGATTCCATTTGATGTCTGAATTTAGCACCTCATTTTTTGATTCATACTAAACAAAGGTGACGCCTTACCAACAAAACGTGGCCAAAGATATTCAAAAAATTTAACTAACGTTATAAAGTGGAAATTTCCTGGGCATTCAGTCTACTTGTGAGTTGTAAAACACTCACTGAATACAGAGTTGGGAAAATTTGCAAGATGCACGGATATTTCACCCCGTAAAACTTGGCAAACTTAATAATTTGAATTATTTTAGATCATTAATATATTAAGATACTCGCCGTTTTCACTTATTAAAGTCTTTTTAATCCACCAATTCTTATACTACTTATTTTAGAATTGGCCAGTCAACCAAAGTGTAAAATAGGAATTGGTGGGTTTTTTTATTTAAAATAACAATTTTAACATCTAAAACAAATTTTTTTTAATTTACGCTAGTGCAAGAACAAAAGGTGGGTTAATTAATTGAATGGAGCCGTTGGTGTCCCTGTCCACCTGAAAAATGATTGGTTGACACGCTGAGTTCGCCACAATGAAATCGGGCGGGAACTAAGGCAACCGGAATGGAGAAAAATTAGTTGAGTTAAAAGAGGCTACATGCTTCATAATGTCCATTACACAATTTATAATTCACAATAGGCAAAAGTTGGGTCGCCTATTAAAAAAAAGCGCCTCCAGTCACCCTGTCCGCCCAAAGACTGATTAGCCGAAATGCAGGGGTCGCCATAATGAGGTTGGGCGGAGAATTGTGACAAGAAAAATCCAAATAAATTGGCTAAATTAGCGGAGATTTTATGTTTTCCCGTCATTTTCCAGGTCCCGTAATAGCCCCTCCTCCAAACTGACATGGGCAATGGGAGTCAAGGCCGATTTCATCAAAAAATAAAAAGTCGTCTGAAATGCAAAAAAATTATCACAATTTCAGAATCTTTAAGTAATTTGCTCCCAATTACTTTTGGCTTAATTTACCAGTAGAAGTAAACAAAAAAGTTGAAATGGAGCAATTACTACATATCGCTATCTAATAATCTACGAAACGGCACAAAAATTCAAAAAAATGCATAAAAATAAAAAAAGCTATATCAAATGCAATTTCAGTTAGGCCAAGCTAAGAAAATTCGTTTTTTTTCTTTTACTAATGCAAAATTACTTACTTGTAGTCTTCGCATTGAGCTAGGTGTAGGAGCGAACCCACCTCCCAACGAATGTGGGCAGCCTCTGCAAACGTAATAATGCAGGCGACTGGGATTACAGCTTTGTCTTCTTGGAGGTAGTATGGCCAAGATTACACATTGTGAGAAAGTGAGAGAGCTAGTCTGACATCACAAATGTCAAATATGCGAGGTTCAATGCAGCGTTAGGACAATCTTCTTGCATGAAATGGGCTGAAACCGAATCTTCAAAGCACACCAACAACTGAACGTTTTTACCTGGAAATTGGATGCAAGGTGTAAAAATAGGGTGGCAACTGCTATATCTGGAATTATAGAGGGACCGGGAGACCGTTGTCACGGATGGCGTGAGTAGAGCTCCGTGTCAATGGTGTGAAGGCCAAGTTGCAGAACCCTGAAAGGCTTCATCAGTAGCATACTGTCCTACAGCAAAATTAACATTATGGAATATTTTAGCTCCTTTCAATAGTTATTATTTTAATGGAATTTATCCAGACAAGTAAGAAGGAAGAAAAGGGGTGAAGCGACGTATATTCCGGGCCACCTTTTAAAGTAATTCCGGATCTTTTCCAGTCACGCTACTGCCAATTCCGGAATGACTGGTGTCTTTGATTACTGGGTTTCAGGAATGCCGTCATCTTACAAATACAACAACTACTACTACCACCACCAATCTCTCTTTGCCCAGGGCTACATTAAAAAAAAATAATTACTTTGTCATTGTGGAATCCCGAAAAACGCCCTCCGCTGATTCAATACTCAGACAAAGTGTTAAGCCTTGACTCAACTCCATTCCTTGACTATTTTTTGTGCAAAGTGTAGAGTTTCTCAACTGTGGTCGGTTGTAGAGCTTTTCTCACTTTTTTCCACTTTCTATAAATGTCGTTTAGATACATTTTTTCTTTGCCAACTTCAACCATTCCGCACTTATTTCGGCTCTACTAGGCCGGATGCAAAAAAGCCATCATTGTCGAAGATTTTCTCAAATTAAAAGAGGAAAAAGTATTCGCTTGGAATATTCAATCACCTCCTCGATGCAAAATAAGAATTACAGGGCTTTAGCATTCACTGTTTCAGCTATTTTCTTTTGGTAAACAAAAATCGACTTTGCAGACGTGAGCGTAGCGCCTAAAGTCAACCCTGAGGACGAAAGGAGTAGTAGCACTGGTGCAAAAAGCGTATTACCGACGTACAGAAGGGCTGAGAGGCTACTACCACGGCCCAGAGGTCATGCCACCCAGCGGAGGTCCAACGGCGGTGCCTTCGGTAGCCGCGCATCCGAAGTGAAGGGTAGCGCAAGCGTCCAAAGTATTGTCATAAAATAATAGGGTTTTTTCAAAAAAAATACTTTGAAATATCTTCTTCATGCCAAAAAAGGGAGGAAAATTTGTGCATTTTTGTACAGACAAAAGCAAGTCGTGGAAGCACTAAATTATTCAAGGCAACCCTGATAAGGTGTGTGAAGTCTAAGAAAAAAAGCTGATTGCTAGAGTATGTCTTGACTTTGAGTAAGAAAACTATTGTTTAGAAATCCACTTTGAGGTAAGAAGAATTGTTTTATAACCTTTTATAGATTTCCTCAATAGAAACTTTGGTTAAAATCTTAAAATTCAAAATTATCAGTCCTAACCGGAAATTCCGCCAATGGTTTGGATGAATTTAAACAAGCCCCAGAATTGTGTTTGTTTGAATCCGCTTCATACTTGACAATTATAAAAATCCGAAATTAATTGTATGAAGAAGTCAAAAGTCCATTAACCCAAGGGTGTGGCACACTTTAACGCCTTGCAACATGTCAAAGTGTTTTGTGACATCTCAGTTTAACATTCCTCAAAATGGAGATAGCATTGAATCCCGCCCTTTGCTTGCCAACCCATTCTTCTTTTACTGCCTGTCAACGTGCCGAAGTACTCAAAGAAGTTGGCATATTTTATACTACTGATAACTCTTTGGAAGGGCTTACAAAATAAGTGTGATTGTTGATCGGACTGTGTTGTGAAGCCTGGATTTGACGATTTGTCGGTTTGACGCCTCTTATCGAGTTCTCTAAGCCATGAAAAGTTGACTGAAGCTGATGGATTTCGATTGGTGCTGTGGGAGTGGGATAATAGAACGTATCACCCTAAAGTGGTCTATACAATCTCTCCTTGATATTGTATCACCTCAAAATGCTTTCCCCTTTTCTCCATCATGGGGAAGTACGTGTGGCTGTTAATTTAAAATATATTTAAAAAAATGAGTTACGATTAAATTGTCGATAGTTCGAAATCCTCGTGCATGTACCACTGAGCTTCATTTAGACAGCGGACTTCATTCACACCCAGTTCCAAGCTAGAGGGTCAAATCATCTACCATCCTCCACTTCTTTTACTTAGGCTAAAAACGCATCCAACGACTGACAAAATTTCCTTGGCCATCAGCAGACAATCCATTCGCTTTCATCATTATA